CGCTGGCAGTTCCTCCACTGCCCACCACCTCTCCCCTCCCCCCTAGCTCATCCCCTTCCCTATTGGGGCCACCCCAGCCTGGGAACCTCTTCCATCTCTTCTTCCTCTAACCACTTCTCATTAGAGACTTAAAACATTTTAAAAGTTCAAAGAAAAGTTTTACAGCATCTCAGGTTCACAAAACCAATTTTCCATGACCAGCCCTAGCCAGTTTGGCTCAGTGGATAGAGTATCATCCTATGGCCTGAAGGGTCCCGGGTCCAATTTCAGTCAAGGGCACATTCCCAGGTTGCAGGTTCTGTCCCCAATGTGGGGCATGCAAGGGGCAGCCGATCAAAGATGCTCTCTCATCATTGATGTTTCTATCTCTCTTTCCCTCTCCCTTCCTCTCTGAAATCAATAAAAAACATTTTTTAAGAAAAATATATATGTAAAACAATTTCCCATGACCAGCTTTAGTTTACTTTATTTTGTTATTGTTAAACCTATAAGGATCCCTCCCCCACCCCATTTCTTTCAGCCTCCCACCAAGAACTGGAACATGACCCTGCTCTTTCCCTCCACCAGCTCAAATTTTTTTCCTGTTCTCTCATTCATTTTGGTTGTTTATTTGTTCTCTTGCACATCTGTGTGCCAAAACCTTGTTTCACATTCTCTGTGTCTGAACTTTATGACAACAGTGGCTTTTGTATGGGTCTCTGAGGACTTCTTTTTGCTCAAGACTCCACTACAACCAAGTCATTAGGTCATATATTTTAAATATATTTCAATTTATTTGTCAATTGTACCTCAGTAAACCTGATAAACTAAGATGCTACTACAAAATTCACCAAGCAAATTAAGATGTTTGTACATCACTCAGTGATTAGAATTGAGAAAGGAGTATGTTGTTAAGACTCAGCCATTGGGGGAGAACACTGCCGGCACAGTAGCCATGCCATCTTGAAGAACAGAACTGCTTGAGACTAGGATCTTAGCGTTGCCACCACCCAATCTGGTTTCAGATGCAAACCGGGACCCTACAGCCACTGGGGTCCCAGCTGCAGACCCAGGGACACCAAGACTCCAGGCATCCCGGCCTCGGGTTTCTGTGAGTCACCGAGCCCATCCCCCTCCCCACCTGCCCTCTGCAGCTGCATAGGAACTGCTAGGCCCGCTCCAATCCACACAAGCAGGCCTCCTGCCCACACAGGGCAGCTGTGCTACCCAATTTGAACCTGGGTGCGCAGACAAGGAGTGTTTGTTCCCCACAGCGCGCACTCCCGTGACCTGACCCCACGCCCACACAGGGTGACTACGCTACCAAAACTCGAGTCTGGGCCCACGGACACAGAGAATCCGTTTCCCATAGTGCGCCTTCCAGCAACCAGACCTCAGGCCCACACGAGGCTGCTGTGCCACCTGACTTTGATTCTGGATGAGGGCACATGGAAGTCTCTCTCCCACAGCGCAGGGTTCAACCTCCCACTGACACAGCATGGCTGTGCCACCCTCAGGCAAACCAGGGAGCCTCATTCTCCATATGAGACACAGCACTGAGCACCAGTGACTTGACTGTTTCTCACTGCCTGCGCACAGGATCCCTGATTTTGGCACATACACACTAAGAGTCGGTGATTCAAATTCTTCGTGCATGTGCACACAGGGACCCTGGGCCTGGAAACGCATAAAATGTTAGTGAAGCATAGTAACCTCCATCTTGTGTAAAAACTGCTGTTTGACATTTTAACCCTGCTATTTTGGCTTCTGTAAACATTTGCTTGCTTAAATAATGGGAGAAAATAAGACTACTCCCATTCCAGAGAGGCCATAACCTATGCTCAGACAGAGTTGTCAGTGCTGGCACCAGGCCAGGCCTTGAGATATGGTCTCATGGCCCCATCCCAGCATGCAAGCCTTCTTTCTCAGAAGGTCCAGAAGTCTCGTTCCAAATTTGGAAGACAAAGAGCTGATAAAAAGTATAAATAAGGAGGAGTTCCATCATGTAGGGGCCCAGAAATTGACAGAGATATTCTACTCTGAGCCCACTAGCGCTAGCATAATAAAAAAATTAAAAACCTCCAAATTAATTTGGCTTATTAAGGAGACTCCTGTTTTAGTTCACTGATTTACATTATAACATTTGAAGGTTCAAATCCCCAGAGTCCTCTCTCTCTTCTTCTTGTGCTCCCTCTTGCTCTGTGACCCAAAATCAACCCTGTGTTCCCCTGCTCGCCTCCATAGCCATGTGACCTTAAGCAATCACATGGCCCAGAGCTGGCCCTGCTGAAGACAAGATTGGACTTCTTCCATGGCGAGATGGACAGAGATGGGACCTTGGAGGGGAACCCGCTTAAGTTTACATCATCAATAAAGCTTCCCACAAAATCCCATCTTCCCCTGCAGCTTCAGCAAATCTTTTCCTTGAAGCACCCCAAGAACTCCACTTCCACTGATAACAATGGGACAGCCTGAAATAAAAACGTTTAAACTAAAATCTAGTCATGGAAGGTAGTCAAGTCTTAGACGTGTATCTTCCCTTGAAAAAGGCCAAGCTTTACCTTCACTGAGCTTGTCTGTTGTCTTTTTGCATCTACATAACATACCTTTGCAATGTCAGGGTAACTTCCTTTTATCCAGTCCCTCAGAGCACAATCTCCCACCTGGACAAGAGACCACAGAACCCCTCACTGTTATTGTTATCATGTGGATTGTGAACTCTTAAGGCTCCTATACCCTCCTGCATAAAGGAGTCTGCGTCTGTTCCTTTCACTTTTTATCCAACCCCAGAGATGTCTGCGCCTGCCTCCCTAGTCTACCACCAGTGCATTTCTTGTGCCTCTCCCTTTGATTTTAATGTATAAAATACAGTGCAAAACTGACATTCTTGGGAGAATTTCCTCATTCAATTGGGATTTTGCTTGTAGGTTATTGCTATCAGTTTGGCTCAAATAAACTCATAAAAATTCTCTACAGGTTTGAATGTTTCTTGGGCTGACAGAGGGGAACAGAGTGTGGGGACAGGAGCCAGGGCACCCACGTGGGAGTCGATGGGGCTAGCCCAGGGTGGGGGCCGATGAGGAGAAGTGGGGGGATTTGGGATCTAGTAGTAGTCAGAGACATCCTGCTTGCTGACGGGCCCGGTGATAGTGGTGGTGGCAGCATGTTCCTCTTCAGGCTTCCCCCGAGCTTGCAGCAAACATCTCAGTACATTTCCAGTGTGTTAGCCCAGTGCTTCCCTGCCCTGCTGGTGAGGCCAGTGGCAGGCATTGTATTCCCATTCCCATCAGGAAGACTGAGTTCCACACGGGTTAGGGCTCAAGGCACATCCCAGGGGAGGAGAAGGCAAAACAATAGATGATTCTGTGGATGGTGTGGAGACACCGCCCTGGGCAGTGGCTTCTCCACCCCCACTCACAGCTGTATAAGGGCCAGGAGGCCACAGAACGATGCAGAGCTGCCCAGCCTGGCAACACGGAACCACCCTGCCCAGACCATGGGAGGCCCCCACCTCAGCGCCTGTCACATCCTACAGGGTAAGAACTTGGGGCCCTAAGGGAGGGGTAGGGGAGCTCCTGGTAGCACCCCTTTGGTGCCTCCATTTCCCAGTCTCCCCACACCCCCCCTCCCACCAAGGAGAAATAGGCACCACTGGCAACTCTGGGGCCTGACCTGGAGGAACCCACATGGTTAAGCGGGAGCCGGGGCACAAGGGAGAGCAGCTGGCAGTGCCTGGGTACCCCCACACCTGGCAGGAACCCCCCGGGTGCTCTGAGGGTCTGTTCCCTGAAAGGGCAGGGCGGGGCAAGGATGAGCTCCGGACTGCGCCCCGCAGGGCGGAGTTATCCCTAGCCCTCACCCAACCAATCAGGGTTAGCCAAGGCAGTGACATCACCACCGACTGGAGTAAAATCCCTGGTTGGGAGAAGTTCGCTCTCTCTTCCGCCATGCTGCCGGCGTGGGTGGGAGGGACCCATGCTAGCATGGAGAAGGCTCTTTTGTTTATTGCATCGGACACGGCTCCCTGGTGGTCCTTGGGGATCACGAAGTCTGGGCATAACATTCCTCACCCCCAAAGGGATCTCCAAGCTCCTTCCACTTTGGAAGCTGCTCCCTAAGAGGGAAAACTGGAGCCGGGGGAAGAGAGGGGCCGAATGAGTGCTGTGACCCCCTCAGGAAGTCACTCTTAGCAGAGGGCAGAGAGGGGGCTAGGGAGCTAAGGGGGGACCCTTCCATAATGGGGTGACCCCAACACATCTCCCATCGTGTGGCAGGGGAAGCCCGGAAACCCCCTCTTTTGCTCCCCCAGACCCAGCGGGGACTCAGCTGTGCGTTAGGGCTTTGCCGCTGTAGGTTGAGCCTGAGCTCTGCTGTGACTTCCCCCTGGCCGCCCTTCCCGCCCCACCCAGGGTGGCTCTAACGGTTATCAGGTTATCGGGGCAGCCCGTTGCCGGGGCAACCGGGCAACAAAGAGAGTGAAGAAATGACACTTGGGGTGCCACTCGGAACTTCCCCAGGCCACAGGGATGGGGCTCCCTGTGCGGGCCCAGGGTACCAGGCCTGAGCTATTTGTTTGTTTGTTTGCTTGCTTGCTTGCTTGCTTGCTTGCTTGTTTTTTATCAAGGTGAGGTGTAATTTACATAGCATGTAATTCACCTGTTGCATGATTATAATTAGATGATTTTTAGTAAACTTTCCCAGTCTGTGTGGAGCCCACCTTAAGGGGGCGATGTGTCAGGGAGCCAAGTCACAGAGCCCCTGATCCTCACTTTCCAGGTCTGTGAAATGGGACAGAGTAAGACTGGCTTCCGCTTACAGGCTGTGTTAAGGGTTGAGTCCAGGTTCACAGTAAGAATTAAGTGAATATTGCCGAAGCCGGTTTGGTTCAGTGGAAGAGCGTCGGCCTGGGGACTGAGGGGTCCCAGGTTCGATTCCGGTCAAGGGCATGTACATTGGTTGGGGGCGCATCCCCAGCGGGGGGTGTGCAGGAGGCAGCTGGTCGATGTTTCTCTCTCATCGACATTTCTAACCCTCTATCCCTCTCAATTCCTCTCTGTGTAAAATCAATAAAATATATTTTTTAAAAAAGAATTAAGTGAATATTATTATGATTGTTGTTAATATTACTATTATTATTATTTCACTGGAGGGTCTGGGGGATGGGTTGGGGTTCGGGGGTCCTTAGCAGGAGGAGTCAGGAGACAATGCGGGCCCCACCCCTGCCACAGGGACCCAGGCAGGATCTGACTGCCCAGGGCTCAGCTAGGGGAATGCACCCAGATGGGACTGGGGGCAGGCAACCTGCCCCCCTCTCCAGGCTCCTGTTTGGGGGACTTCCTGGGCCTCAGGTGGGCTCTGGCCCAGCACCCTCTGTGGTGGGGCAGGAAAACCCAGCTCAAAAAAAAAAAACCCTCCCCACAGTGCCTGGGGAACTTACCCCTCACTTCCATCTTCCCCAGCCCCCTCTCACCAGATTCTCCATAAGCCTTTCCTGGGCTCTGAGCCTCAGTTTGTCCATCTGCAGAGTGGACATAAACAGAGTGTCTGTCTCCTTGGACGGTTGTGAGCATGGAAGTCATTGGGGCTTTGGGAGCTGGGGACGAATCAGCCCAGGGCCCGCCCGGCCAGGGAAGGTCATTTTGTGTCTGTCCTAAAAGAGGAAGTGTGTTTCCACCAAAGAGAGAACTAACCAAACCCTGTGGCCAGAGAGGAGAGAGACAGGAAGTCCAGCCTCAGTTTACCTTATCTGTGCAGGCCTCAGAGAGGGTATGGGGGTCTTTGCCCTCTGCTGGCCTGAGGGGTACCAAGATTGGACAATGGAACTGAGTGCTCAGGAGACCCTCCAGTCTGCACCCGGCATAGCTTCCCAAGTTGTGCTCACACTGACAGACCCCAAATCCCCCTGGGAGCCCCTCCATGGGGGGCTGGGAGCCCTGAGTTATCGCTTCATTTGGCCCAGGAGGTGACTCACTCCTGCCCTGTCTCCCTGCCCCCCATCCCTCCACCCACTGCCCCCCATCTGGCCTCCCTGGATTATCTGGGTCTGGACTGCCTCCCCAGCATCTCTAGATCAGCAGGGACTGGATGGATCCCTCAAGCCCTCCCCCAGCCCACCTGCTGCCCAGGTGCCTTCCCTCCCTGCCCCTCTCCCTCTCTCCCCTACTTCCCTCCCTCCCTTCCCCTTCTGTTTCTCTATCTGGCTTTCAATCTCTCTATCTCTCTGTGTCTCTCAGTCTAATCTCTGACTCTGTGTCTCTCCCTTTCTAGGAGTTCCCTATTTCTCTGTCCATCTCTCTAGATCACTGTCTTCTTAACTCTGCCTCTCTGCTTATCTCTCCATTTCTGTGTTCTCTCTCTCTCTCTCTCTCTCTCTCTCTCTCTCTCTCTCTCTCTCTCTCTCTCTCTCTCTCTCTCTCTCCTCTTTATTTTCTCTCCATCTGTCTCCTTGTCTCTCTCTGTGATGTATGGATCCTCATATCTAGACCCCCTGCTGACTTAAGGAGAACCCCAGGACACGCCCTGGGATGGGGTGCCCCTGAGATGCAGGAAGAGCAGGATTGGGGGGCCTGTGCAGTTCCACCCCTAACCTGAGCCCCAGCATCTTCCTGTGTGCAGGGAGCCAGGGGGGGAAATGTCACCACGGGGTCCGGAGCTGGTCCTGTGGCTGACAGGTGTGGGTGCAGTGTGCTTGCACCTGTGTCCCTGAGGAGGGGTGTGGCCGGAGCACCTTAGCTTTGGGAGATCTGAGAGGACAGCTGGCCCAACCCCTTCATTTTTACATAAAGAAATGATGGCAGCAAGCACTCTGACACACCAGGCAGTGCTTGTGTGCTTGACTCTCACACTCTAGGGAAAGGGCCCCCTCCTCATCCCCATTCTACAGAAGGGGAAACTGAGGCACTGACCAGGGTCTGGGAGTAGAGCCAAGGCCACCTGGCTCCAGTATGTCTCCTGAACTGCTGCCCACAGGTCAGCAGAAGCCAAGACCCCTGCCAGGCTCGGCCCCTCCCCATCCCTCAGTGCCTGGAGCCCCCTCAGGCGATGGGAGCGGACCCTCTGGCCAGGGGCACTGGAGGCCAGGGAGGTGCCACCGGCCACTCTCGCCTTGAGAATGGACAGAGCCCGAGCCTGGAGGGGAGAGCAGCCCCTTCCCTCAGATGTGTCCCCCTCAGGCCTCCCTCCCTGTTCTGTGTCCCCCTGACCCCCATCTCTCTGTTCCAGGGCTGTGTGTCTTGCTGATTCTGTTGGAAGATGGACCCCAGAGCGCCAGGGGTGAGTCTGCTGGGAGTAACTCTGTCCACAGCCAGAGTCCCATCCCCCACCTGCACCTCTCAGCCCAGGCAGGGAGAGGCCTGCTGCAGGGGAAGCTCAGGGTTGCCCCTCAAAACACCCCTCCCAGCCTCTGGCTCAGCCTCATCTTCTGACCATAATCTCCGTCCCACAGCCTCTGCGTGTCCCCTGAAGTGCCCTCCAGACTCCTCATGTGTTGGTGGCACTGCCTGTCACTGTAACCCAGGATTCCAATCTCCATCTGGAAAGACTGAAGTCAGTCAGGGAGAGACTTGTGAAGGTACAGAGGCTTGGGTGGTGGAGGGCTACATGGAGACAGAATGGTGGTTGGTGGCCTCAGCTTTTGTGCTCAGACCATCATGAAGGACAGAGAAAAGAGAAAGAAAAAGACATGAAGGTGGAAAATGAGAAGTGAATGAACATGGCTTCGTACAGAGGGAGAAGCTGGGTCTCTAGGAGCCTGGAACCTGTGCCTCAGTTTACCCTTCCAGGCCTGGGGAGGGGGATGCAGAGCTTCCACCCACCCACCACTTCAGCTCTTGCTCCTGGATCCAAATCCAGGGGACAGGCAGAAAGCTGAGCAGAGCTGAGCCGATTGGGTGGGTTTCAGGAGTGGCTTGCTCAGGCCACAGCAGTGTTGTCTGAGTCTAATTATTTCCCAAAAGACACTGACTGAGCTTCAGGCTGCATGCTGGGCATGGGACCAGGCTCTCTGCCCTGAGGGCACTCATGGCTTTGGGAAGTGACCCTTTACCCTATTTTATTCCAGACATTGACGAATGTAAACAACCCTTAAAAGTAACCTGTGGAAGCGCCGCAGACTGCCATAACACAAAGGGGAGCTACTTCTGCATTTGCAGCCCCGGATACAGGCTTCTTTCTGGGGGAGTAAAGTTCCATAATGCGAGTGAGAACACGTGCCAAGGTAAGAATGACCTGCACCTTCCGGCTCCCCGTCCATGAGGTTTGGAGTCCCCAGAGCCATTCCTGCAGCACACAGGGTGCCGGGCCCTGGTCCAAGGTGCAGCCCCAGGTCTGAGTGGGGACAAGTGTGCCTGTGCCTGTCCCACTAGCACAGAGAGGCAGGTGGCCTTTGAGCCAGGACCCAAGTCCTGGTACAGCTACCTGACAGCTGGGCATGCAGCACCAGCCAGGACACTTCTTCAGAAATCACTGGTAATGTTCAAGATATGATAGTATTATTGTGGTTTTGTGTTTAAAAAAGCAACAACACCTGATTTTTACAAATAAACACAAAAGTAGCTGTATGACCTTGGACACGTAATTCACCGTCTGTGCCTCAGTTTGCCCATCTGTAAAAGGGAGTGACAATGCTGGGAAAGTATATGTGATCATAGAGCACAACACAGTGGTGGCTGTTGGGTTTTTAGACTACACTCATTCTTTCTCTTTACTTTTTATCTTTACTGTTGAAAGTATTACATAAGTGCCCTTTTTCCGCCATTGACCTCTTCCAGCCCGCCATCCTTCCCACCTCCCCTCGCCCTCCAGGTCCTCACCACCTCATGGTCTGTGTCCCGGGTTATGTTTATGCATAAGTTCATTCGTTGATCTATTTCCACCCACCTCCTCTGCCTTCCTTCTGAGGTTCAACAGTCTGAACCATGCTTCTATGTCTCCAGGTCTATTTTTGTTCATTTTTGTCTGAGATTTTTGTTCCTATAGTTCCTTCTAGGACTTTTACGGTTTCACATCTTGCATTTAAGTCTTTTATCCATTTTGAGTTTATTCTTGTGTATGGTGTAAGTTGGTGGTCTAGCTTCATTTTTTTGTATGTGCCTGTCCAGTTTTCCCAACACCCTTTATTGAAGAGACCGTCATTGCTCCATTGTATGCTCTTGTAACACAGTGCTCCCTCCTCGCTCAGCTCCCCTCCTCTCACAACCTCCCCTTCCTGCCTGTCTCTTATAAGTCACATCCTCAGCTGGACCTCAGTTGGTAATTCCAGGTGAATGTTCTAATTTAGTTGTATTTCCAGACTGGCCCTGGGATGAGGTGTCCCACAGGTCTGCCTATCCGGCACCATTTTCTCCTCCCATTCTGATCTCACACACCCTCTCCTGTTGGACAACCCAGGGGACCATGCCCCAGGGTGGCAGCTCAGAGAACAGCTGGCCTGGCCCATCCCCTCACCAGAGACCCAGGAGGAGCAGGCCTGCACTCATCACCAGCTCAGCTCACTTCCCAGGGAACAGCGAAGGGGCTTCAGGCATCTGCAGGTAGATGGGGCCAGCAGTGGTCAGGCAGAACCAGGACTCACCCAGAGAGAGGGGGTTAGTACAGAATACAGAGAGGGGAGCAGGAGGCTGAGCGGGGAATCCTGGAGGCTCTGAGCAGGGTCCACAGGCCCGCTCTGCTGGAACAGAAGAGGCTGAATCCAGGTGTCATCAGGGACCATTGCACCAGGCTCAATCCTCTCCTGAGGAGATCAACCCAGATGCCATGGGGGCCCATACCCGTGTGGGACTGAAGACGGAGGCTGAGCCCCTCTGGCCAGGCCCACAGGTCTGTGTCCCTGGTGGGAGAACAAGGAGCCAGATGACAGACACTCCTGCCACTCTTCACCCATCGGCCCCTGTGCCTCACTCCAGGCACCCAGCCCTGGCCCACACGGCCTTGCTCACATGTGGATTCTCATCAGTCCCTGCCAGGCCTGGGGATGCCTTCAGGGGGGTCAGAAGGGACATCTTCACACCCCAAGACTGCATGGCTGGATGTCAGCCCCACTGCCCTCATGGCCTGGCACCCGCTGTCCAGGTGGCCCTGGCCTGCCTGGCATCATGTTCACGTTCTGGGCCCCGGCCTAAAAGCCTTGTCTGCGAGGGGTCAGGCTCAGGGCTGGTTCTCGGTCCCTCTCCATGGGCTGGAGTCTCAGAAGTCGTGTGGATGGGAGAGCGCTGTCTCACCAGAGACACCAGGATCCAAGGAGAGCTCAGCCAACAGCACCCGGGGGAGTCAGGACCAAGGCCACCGAAACGAGCCTGCTCAGGCCCACAGCACCTCTCCCGCACTTGGTCCCAGGGAGGCCCGGCCTGGCCTTTGCCCGAGTCCTCAGGCTGGGACCCAGGTGGCGGTGCTGCCCCTGCCCTAGCTGGGAGCTGCCCGGGGAGGAGGTGATGGTCCGAGGGAGGACGTAGGCCGTTTCTGGACACATCTGGACAACAGAGCATCTAGGCCACCATGCTTACCCACAGAACACCTCCATGTGAACTAGAAAAGGCACCACTTGCCTGGCAGGAAGCAGTGGGGCTTTCCAGACGCTTCCATGACAGGAAACGTGGCTGACTCCCAGGCTTGAAGGCTGCCCATGGCTTCAGGCATCCACCACCCTATCCTTCCCCTTGCAAGTATGGACGAAAGGAAACTGAACCCGGAATCTGACACTCTCTCTGCTTTGTCCTCAGATGTGGATGACTGTATACAAGGGCAAAACTCCTGCCACAAAACCACCCAATGCCACAACACCGTGGGCAGCTATGAGTGCCGCTGCCGCCCTGGCTGGAAGCCGGCTCCTGGGTCCCCCAATGGCGCACACAACACTGTCTGTGAACAAGGTTTGGAGTTCAGATCCCACATTCCCCTGGACCCACAACTCAAACCACCTGATCACATGTTCACGGGCAGCCACACGAACGCAGCCCACTGAATGCTGGGGGCACCTGCTGGGCCAGGCTTCCCTTCTCTGAGACTAAATGGGAAGAGATCTGGGGTCCTGCAGAAGGAGCTGGGGTACCAAGGGGAAGGCTCCTGGGGGACCCTGGGCAGCAGCTAATTACTCACCGGGAGAAAGGTGTCTAATAGCTCACAACCTATACCTCTGTGTGGGGCTCACCTGCTGTGTGTCAGGCCTCTGCCCACTTCCCATAACCCCTGCGTCCCCCATTCAGGGGTGTGCAGTCACCAGGTGTCATCACCTCCAGCCAAGGCGTAGGGGGAAAGGGGTGGGGCACAGAGAGGAGAGGGACCCAGAGTCCTGAATAAACAAAGGACTACTCAGTATGAAGATAGCTGGCCTGAACTAGGCCCTGCCTTGAACACAAACACACACACACACACACACACACACACACACACACCCCTAATGGACGGCTGTTCTGTCCCCTGCAGAGATCTCCTTCCCCACCTGGACCACACCCCCTGGAATCAAGAGCCAGGTGAGTGACTCCAGCCGGCACCAGAAGGCAAGATCCCTCCACTCAGCCCACCCTCCACCCATTGCACCCTCTCCCCCACCCACACATGAGGGTCTCTAAGGCCTCATCTCTTTCCCCAGAGCCTCTCTCACTTCTTTGAAAAAGTCCAGGAGCTGGTCAGAGACTTCAAGCCTGCCTTGGCCAAGAGCACCATCCAGGTAAGGACAGGACCCAGGGGAGGCAGCTGGAGGCATCCCATAGAGACCCGAGGCAGCCTTGGTCTAGAAGGAGACTGACCCCAACACAACAACGGCGCCATGCTGTGAGGCCCCCCTCTCCCGGGGTGGGTGGGAAGAGCATACCATGTATTTGTACTCTCTGCTAGAGCCACTGACACCTTTCCTCTTGTTTCTGGCCACTGGAATTGCATTGTCCTTGGTAGTCTTGACCAGGGTTTGACCTCTGAGTGGCGGATTGCACTAGCAAAGGCCCAGGGAATCCCATCCGATACCACCTTTGATAACACCTAGAGCCCAAATAGACAGGCTCTAGGGTCTGTTCTCAGAAGCTGAATGTCAGGGTCTTCCTGAAGCTTCTCTGGCACAAATCCACTGGTTCTGTGTCCCCATTCCCCCCAGAGCGTCATACAGGAGGTGGATAATCTGCTGGAGACCCCAGGGGACCTGCTTACCCTGCCTCGTTCAGAGCAGCATTCTGTGGCTACTAACCTGCTCACTGGCCAGGAGCATGTCCTTAGAGAGCTGAGCAAGGCCTTGCCCAATGGGCCACTGACCTTCAGGACCAATGAAGGAACAGGCAAGTAACCCCGCCTGTCCCCAGGCCCTGCTCTGCCTGTTCCTCACTGCATTCCTCTTCCCATTGCACTAGAGCTGGATGTACCTCCCTGTTACTCTCATAAACATATTAAGATAAAAGATCTGCCAAAATTGGTTTGGCTCAGTGGATAGGGCATCAGCCTGCGGACTTAAGGGTTCCAGATCGATTCCGGTCAAGTGGGGGTTGTGCAGAAGGCAGCTGATCGATGTTCCTCTCTCATGGATGTTTCTACCTTTCTATCCCTCTCCCTTCCTCTCTGTAAAAAGAAATCAATAAAATGTATTTTTTTAAAAAAGATAAAAGATTAAAAGCAAATGAAAAAAGTTATCAATACTACACATTCTCATTGTAATATAAATTATCAGCAAATGAAATAATTATCCCATCTAACAAAGAGGGAATATGCTGGTGGAACCTCACACCATCACAGAGATGGCAGTGCCCACAGCCAATAAGGAGGGAATATGCTAATTGAATGCCATGACCTCAAAGACGGTAGCACTCACAGCCACAAGATAGTGGCACCCAGTCCCCTCAGCCCCACCGGGGCAGCAGGTGCACAGCAAGGAGATCCATGCTCCTGCCTTCAGAGTCTCCCAGTCCCCTCAGCCTCCCAGCCGCCCAGGCCACCTGAGGCTCAGGTAACCAGAGCCAGTCGATGCTTGCACTGCCAGCAGTGGCAGCAGCAGAGATGTGCTGGGGTGTCACCTTCCCATGATCACCAGGTCACCTCCTGCCCCTGAGGGCTCTCAGGCTGTGAGAAGAGGCAGGCCGAGCTGAGGGACCCCCCCACTCCAATGCATGAATTTTCATGCACCAGGCCTCTAGTAATAAGTAAATTAGATACAATAGAAATGGCCTAAAAGAAAACAAATTATTAAATTTGGAGGAATACAATTTAGTATTATCTAATATTTAAGTGATTTGTTTTATTGAGGTGAATTTCACATAACATAATATCAACCATTTTAATCAAAGTGTACAATTCAGTGGCATTTAATACATTCAGAGTTGTACAGCCATAACCTCTGTTTCTTTTCTTCTTAATATATTTTTGTTGATTTCAGAGAGAGGGCGAGGAAGAGAGAGATAGAAACATCAATGATGAGATAAACCAAAGAACCTATATACATAGCCCATAGACATGGGCAATAGGGTAGTGAAACCTGGGAAGTGAGGGTAGGGGCTGGGAGGAGGGGGGTTAAGGAGAGGAAAACGGCAGATATCTGTATTACTCTTAATAATAAAAATATTTTTAAATGTATTTTAGCCCTAGCTGGTTATGCTCAGAGGATAGAGCATTGGCCTATGGACTGAAGGGTTCTGGGTTTGATTCCGGTCAAGGGCACGTTCCTGGGTTGTGGGCTTGATCCCCAATGGGGGTCATGCAGGAGGCAGCCAGTCAATGATTCTCTCTCATTGTGTTGTTTCTGACTCTCTCTCCCTCTCCTTTCCTCTCTGAAATCAATAAAAATATTTTTAAATATATATATATATATATATATATATATTTTAATAGTGGCTGCCTTCTGCACTGGAGATTGAGCCAGAAAGCTAGGCATGTGTCCTGATCTGAAATCCATCTATGACCTCCTGGTTCATGGGTTGATGCTCAACCACTGAGCCACACCCGCCAGGCCACCACCTCTATTTCTAAAGGGTTTTCATCATCCGAGAAGTGAACTTCTCATTTCTCCCTCCCTCAGTCCTTAGCAAGAATTTATCTGTTTTCTGTCTCCATGAATTAGCCGATTCTGTGCATTTCATATAAATAGAATCATACAATACCTGACCTTATAGTCTAGCTTCTTTCACGTAGCATACTGTTTACAAGGTCATCCATGTGGTAGCATATATCATATGGTTGAACACTATTCCACTGCATGTATGCACCACCTTTTGTTTATCCATTCATCCATTTATGGACATTGGGTTGTTGCCACCCTTTGACTTTTATGATTTTGGTGTACTCATTTCTGTATGAATAACTGTTTCGCTTCTTTGGGCCCATATGAAGGAGTGGAATTGCTGAGTGATATGCTAATTATATGTCCAAACTTTAGAAGCCACCAAACAGATTTCCAAAATGGCTGTGCCCTCCACCCCCAGCAATGTGTGAGGGTTCCATTCCTTACATGCCCAGCAAAACATCTCACTTCCATTTTATTTTTGTCTTATTAAAGCCTTTCTAGTGTGTCAGGTGATATTTCATTAGGGCAAGCATGTCAAACTCTCTGTCCACAGGCCACATGTGGCCCTCAACAAATATTTTTGTGGTTCAGCCAATATAGTGGTTCGTAAACAAAAAGTTTTAATAAAAACTTTGTAACCTAATTTTTACAATATCCTGTTATACATAATGATTAATAATGAACTACAACGTTTGCTATGACTGATTACTATAATCGTGTTGCATTCATTTCCCTTACATGCCTTACACACAGGCGCATCTTTTCTCTCCACTGACACCAGCAGCGAATATTTTAGCAGCCGATTGCCAAGTCATTAGTCTTTTACTGACTTGTTTGGTATGCGCAACAGGAAATATTTCGCTTTCAGAGAACAAGAAAAATAGGTTTATTTGTGTTAAGCCTATTAATTTGTGCTGTTATTCAGAGTCCGGTAAGCTAATGTTCAAGGAAAAATATTGATTTTTATTAAAAATGTTCTATTATTTTATGTTAATGATTAATCATTTATTTCAGCCCTTTGCATTCAGCATGTCCCTATCGAAATCAAGTGGTAGTAAAACTACGTAAATGGAAAATTGGTGACAAACATCAAAATTTCCAAGAAAAGTGGAAATTGGAATATTTTTGCTGTGAAGTAAAAATAACCTGCTTAAATGTAATAATGCTATTATACATTGAAAATTGAAGTTTTTGTTTTTTTCTGCGGCCCACATAAACTTAAACCTTGTTTATTTGGCCTATGTTAGCCTTTGAGTTTGACATGCTTGCATTAGGGTTTTGATTTACATTTTCCTAATGACTAGTAATATTTAATATCTTTTTAAGTGATTGTTGAACATTTGTGTATCTTTTTTGGGTAAATGTCTGTTCAAGTCCTTTGCCTACTTTTTAATTGGGCTGTTTGGCTTTTTGTTATTTAGTATTAAGTGTTCTTTACGTATTTGCTAGTAGACCCTTATGAGACAAGTGATTTGCTAATATGTTTTCCCATCCTATAGATTCTTTGCACTTTCTTTGCATTATTACATAGTAAGCAGATTATTAAGTATTATAGATGTGTGGAATTTTTATAAAGCTCATTTTATTTATTTTTTCTTTTATTGTACATTTTGTGTTTTATCTAAGTATTGATTGCCAAATCACAAGTCATGAAGATTTACTCCTGTGTTTTCTACTAACTTCTATTTTTATTTTATTTTTAATGTTTTTATTGAATTTTTTAGAGAGTGGAAGGGAGGGGGATAGGAAGAGAGAAACATCATTGACTGGCTGCCTCCTGCACACCCCCACAAGGGACAGCCTGCACCCAGGCATGTGCCCTGACAGGAATCAAACAGGAGGGGGAGGAGGCTGTCTCTTGGTTCCTGGGTCAATCACTGAACTACAGGGCCTGGGCCTAACTGCTCTATTTGTAGCTCTTAAATGTAGGTCTTTGATCCATTTTGACCCAATTTTTATGTATTGTGTGAGGAGTGAGTCCATCTTCCTTTTTTCGCTTGTGCTGGGGCATCTGGCTATGCACAGACCATTTGCTGAAGGGACTATTCTTTCCCTCGTTGAAGGGTATGTTGAAAATTGGTTGACCATAAATGAATGGGTTTATTTCTAAACTCTCAATTTTATTTTGTTGGTTTATGTGTCTACTCATACGGTAGTACCATACTGCTCTGGTTATTGTATACTAGTAATACATTTTGGGGTTTTTTTTGTCTTTGGGTTTTGTTGTGTTTTTTTTTCTATATTGATTAAGGTATCACATATTTGTCCTCAACCCCCCATTCCAATCCCCAACCCCTCCCCATTCATGCCCCCAAACCCCTATTGTCCTTGACCACTGGTTAGGCTCATATGTATGTACACAAGTCCTTGTGAGAGGGATGTCCGACTATCCATTTAGGCCCAGTCCTGGTGGGATCAGGCCTTTTGTCCTCTCCCTTTTATCTCATTCTCTCTTTAAGGTCCAACAGTCTGACCCAGGGCTCCTTATCTCTGGGTCTGTTCTTGTTCATCAGCCACTAGTAATAAATTTTGAAATCAGGAAGTTTGAGTTCTCCAACTTTTTTTTTTTTTTCATTTTCAATATTGTTTGGATATTAGGGCCTCTTGCAATACCATATAAATTTTAGGATGAGCTTTTCCATTTTTGCAAAATACATATATATATGCTTTTGGAATATTGTTAGTATTGCATTGAATCTGCAGATCACTTTTGGGAATCTTGCCATATTTAAAATATTAAGTCTCCCAATTCATAGTCACAGGATTCCTTTCCATTTGTTTAGGGTTTTTAAATTTCATTAACAATATTTGTAGTTTTCAGTGGACAAGTCTTATGCCTTTTTGGATAACTTTATTCCTAATATTATGTTGAAGATTTTTGCATATATGTTCATAAGAGTTAATGGTCTAGAGTTTTGTTTTCTTTTGATGTCTTTTTCTAGTTTGGTTTTTAGAGTAATTGTGGCCTCATAAAATTATTCAGTGTTCCTTTTCGTTCTATTTTTTAGGAGTGTATAAGAATTTGTGTTAACTTTTCCTTAAGTGGTTAGTTGAATTCAGGTCTGAACTTTTCACTTAGAAAGTTTTTATTACAGATTTGATCTTCTTACTTATAACAGGTCTGTTCAGATTCTACTTCTTCAGTTACTTTTATAGTTCATGGGTCTGTAGGAATTTTTTTTATTTCATTCAGTTTATATAATTTGTAGCTTCTCTGATAATCCTTTGAAAATTCAGATTGGTATACATATCATTATTACATATATAAAATATGTGTCTTATTATAATACTAGAGGCCAGTGCATGAAATTATTCGGGGAGGGGGCGGGGAGAGATATGTCCCTCAGCCCAGCCTGCACCCTCTCCAATCTGGGACCCTTCAAGGGATGTCCAACTGCCCGTTTAGGCCCAATCCCACCAGGACTGGTCCTAAATGAATAGTCGGACATCCCTCTTACAATCCAGGACTGCTTGCTCCCAACCACTAGCCTGCCTGCCTGCCTGATTTCCCCTAACCACTTCACTGCTAATCTGATCAAAGCCTAACTGCTCCCCTACTAACCTGATTGCCCCTAACTGCCCTCCTCTGCTGTCCTGGTCACCAACAACTGCCTTCCCCTGCCTGCCTGGTCTCCCCTAACTGTCCCCTGCTGGTCTGGTCCCCCTCAGCTGCCCACCCATGCAGGGCTGCCCCCCGCAACTGCTCTGTGCTGCAGGCTTTGGTCTCCCCAACTGTCTTTCACCTGCAGGCCTCATTGTCCCCAACTGCCCTCCTCTGCCAGCCCAGTCACCCCTAACTTCCCTCTCCTGCTGGCCTGATCACTGCCAACTGTCCTCCCTTTCAGGCTTGATCACCCTCAACTGCCCTCCCCTGCTGGCCATCTTGTGGTGGCTATCTTGTGTCCATATGGCGCAGCCATCTTTGACCAGATGGGAGCGGCCATCTTGTGTGTTGGAGTGACAGTCAACTTGCTATTACCTCTTTATTATATAGAATATATATGACATTATTTGGTATACCTATAATAATATTACAGATAACATTTTGTATATAGTGAAACAAAATCTATACTAATAAAATGATAATATGCTGGGAGACCTCTGGACATCCTTCCAGACAAAGCCATGGTGGTGGGGCCAAGACAGAGACAGTTAGGGGCACTCAGGCTGGTGGTGGGGGAAGCAGTTGGGGGCAAGCAGGCCAGTGGCAGGGGCAGTTGGGGGTGAGCAGGACGGCAGGGGAAATGCAGTGGGGGTGAGCAGGCAGCAGGGAAAGGGGGTGGGCAGGTAGGGGTGAGCAGGCTGGCAAGGAGGGCAGTTGGGGGCAAGATGGTCAGTGGAGGATGGCAGTTGGGGATGAGCAGGCCGGTGGGGGTTCAATTGAGGGTGATCAGGCTGGCAGGGAGGGCAGATGGGGACAATCAGTCCAGCAGGGAAAGGCAGTTAGGAATGATCAGGCCAGAAAAGGGGCAGTTGGGGTAGATCAAGCCAGCAGGCAGAGATCAGGCAGGCAGGCAGGTGAGCAGTTAGGAGCCAGAGGTCCCAGATTGCAAGAAGGATGTCCCAGATTGAAGAGGGTGCAGCCGGGTTGAAGGACACCCCTCCCCTGTGCACGGATTTTGTGCACCGGGCCATTAGTCTATACCAGTGTTTCCCAACCTTCTCTCATGATGAGAATCACCTGATGGAGTTGTTAAAACACAGATTCCTGAATCCCAACTAAGAAGTGCTAAACTAGAATTTTTGGGAACATATAGGTAAAATTGTATACTTAACTAGTGCTCTAAGACAGATTTTATATACAGAGCACTAAGTTAGGTATGCAATTTTACCTATATGTTCTCAAAAATTCTAGTTTAGCACTTCTTAGTTGGGATTCAGGAATCTGTGTTTTAACAACTCCACCAGGTGATTCTCATCATGAGAGAAGGTTGGGAAACACTGGTCTATACTAATAAGAGAGTAATATGCTAATTAGACCTGGAGACCTTCCAGATGTCCTTTTGGACAAAGCCATGGTGGTGGGGCTGAGGAAGCAGAGGTGGTTAGGGGTGATCAGGCTGGCGAGGGGGAGGGGAAGTTGGGGGCAAGCAGGCTGGTAGGGGAGGCAAATGGAGCAAGCTCTCTGGCAGGGAAGGCAGTTGGGGGCAATCAGGACATGGGGGGGGAGGTAGTTGGGGGATAGCAGGCCAGCATGGGGGACAATTGGAGGTGAACAGGCCAGCAAGGGAACAGTTAGGGGTGATCAGGCCAAAAGGGGGTAGCCGTTGGGGGCAATCAGGCTGGCAGGCAGAGTTGTTAGGGGCAATCAGGCAAGCAAACAGTCAGGTGAGCAGTTAGGAGCCAGGGGTCCCAGATTGCAAACAGATGTCCGATGGCTGGATTGGGCCTAAACCGACAGTCAGACAGCCCCCGAGGGGTCCCAGATTGGAGAGGGTGCAGGCTGAGCTGAGGTACACCCCCACCCCCTGCACTAATGTTGTGCAATGGGTCACTAGTATATATATATAAAAGATATCTATACATAATAGTGGTATTATAGCTACAACTGCTGGCACAGTTACTAATCTAACTCCCTTATGTAACTCCTACAATTCATAGAACTGTTCCTGGAGGTGAAGGAGAAAGGAGACAAGAATGTCACCCTGAGTACTAAAGATACAACGATGCTGGTGAACTGGGATGTGGTGCAGGACTCAGGTGGCTCAGGTAATGACTAATATGGAGAGGTCAATGAGACTTAACCATGGAACAAGACACCTAAGGATGTGACAGAGAATTAAATATTAAGGGAAGTATGGGCTGTTGTGAATCAAAGGGAAGAATGCATCCCAGAAGGAAGTGGGTCTTTGGGGCACACCAAGATGTCAACCTTGTCCTTGTCTGTAGGCCCTTCTGTGGTGGGCCTTTTCTCCTCTCCAGGGATGGGCAAGTTGCTGGTTGGGGCCCCCCTGGTCCTGGAAACTGAGAAGCAGTCAGCTCTGAATGAGAAAGTCTCCCCTGTACTGCTCTCAGATGTCATCTCCATCTTTGTGAGCAATAAGGACACTCAGAACCTCAGCTCCCCAGTCACCTTGGTCTTCAACCACGTGAGTGCTGGTGAAACAGGGCTGTGAAGAGGCCTGAGTTCTGAACACAGTCTTGGGGGTCAGGGGCTCTCCCACAGGTGCATCATCTTCCTAGGAAAGCCCATCACCAGCAGGATTTGGGTCAGCATTTCTGAGCACCAGAACCACCAGCTCACACCTTGCCCTGTCCCTACAGTTAGTGACCCCAGGACCAAGGCAGAAGGTGTTCTGTGTCTTCTGGGATCCTGGCCAGAATGGAAGTGGTCATTGGTCCACCGAAGGCTGCTGGATGATGGGCACCGGAGATACCAGCACCACCTGCCAATGCAGCCACCTCAGCAGCTTTGCTGTCCTCATGGCCCACTATGATACGCAGGTGAGAGCCTTGAGAAGGGACTTTGTTCACTGTCTATTGTGTTGTAATAAATTCCCATGCATGTTGCACTTAAAAAAACACACATAATTTATTATTCTTCAATTTATGTGTGTCAACAAATAAACATGGTGCAGCTGGATTGTCCACAAGCATCTCATCTGAGGATTGCTGTCCTCCATTTCCTTTATCATATTCACATTTCTGTTTTTCTCTCTTGCCATCCCTCTTTCTCTCTCTCACCTACTTACACTGAAATTAATTTTTTAAATCTATCCCCTTATAGATTTAAGATAATTTGAAAAATTAGGCAGGAAAATTTTTAATCTTTGAAAAATAGGCAGGAGCCCTAGCCACTTTGGCTCAGTGACTAGAGCATTAGTGTAAGGACTAAAGAGTCCTGGTTTTTATTCTGGTCAAAGACACAAGCCCAGATTTCAGGTTCAGTCCCTGGTAGGAGGTAGCCAATCAATGATTCTCTCTCATCATTGATGTTTCTTTCTCTCTCTCTCTCTCTCTCTCTCTCTCTCTCTCTCTCTCTCTCTCTCTCTCTCTCTCTCTCTCTCTCTCTCTCCCCCCCCCCTCTTCCTTATTTTCTGAAATCAATACAAATATATTTTTAAAATAAATAATAAAAAATTAGGCTGGAATTTTAAGCTACCACCATCATCAGTACTTTTCCTTGTTTAACCAAGGATCTAAATCTATAAGGAACAGGTGTTGCAGGGATGTGAGTAAGTCCAAGTAGGGGAGTTGATCCCTGGACATCGAGTCTCTGGATACAGACTCTGTCACACAGTATCACTTCATGGGGATGGAGGATGATGCTCAACATGGAGCCATGTGCCTCTGTGACTATCACATGATAACATATAAGCTTGGTCAAAAAAGAAAATCAAGCCAAAAACGGTTTGGCTCAGTGGATAGAGCGTTGGTCTGCGGACTGAAAGGTCCCAAGTTTGATTCCAGTCAAGGGCATGTACCTTGGTTGTGGGCACATCTCCAGTGTGCAAGAGGCAGCTGATTGATGATTCTCTCTCATCGATATTTCTAACTCTCTATCTCTCTCTCTTCCTTTCTGTAAAAAAAAAAAAAAAAAAAAAAAAAAAAAAAAAAAAAAAAAAACCCACACACACACACAATAAAATACATTTAAAAGAAGAAAATCAAGCCTATAAGTTCCAGGGCTTGGTCTGGAATGAGGACTCTCTTATCCATCAATGTTTACAGGGTCTGAGTTAATCAGTTCAGGACCCTCTAGAATTCTAACAGTATCCATAAACATCACAAATTTACCTGGCTCCTCCACTCCTAATTGTGTTGTACCCTGCCCAAAACTGAAAATGGTAGTAGTGGCATTAACCCAGATTAGGAGAGTGTGACTGCTCTCTCTCTCTTTGCTGGGTCCCAGGAGGAGGATCCCGCCCTGGCTGTGATCACCTACGTGGGGCTGAGCCTCTCTCTGCTGTGCCTCCTCCTGGCGGCCCTCACCTTCCTGCTGTGCAAAGCCATCCAGAACACCAGCACCTCACTCCACCTGCAGCTCTCGCTCTGCCTCTTCCTGGCCCACCTGCTCTTCCTCACAGCCATCGACAGAACTGAGAACAAGGTACTGACACTGTCCCAAAGGATGCATGCCCTTACAATGAAATAAGGAATTCACTTGCATTGGACACCTTAATAAAATGACTTTGGGTTTGTGGAAGGTTAGAGGAGTAAGTAGCCAATTTTACATTGACTGACAAATAGAATTCACACCTTCTTTGGACAATTCCTTCATATACAGCAGAGTTCTCCCAAATGGCAAGGTATAGGAGAGGTCCTGGGGCCATGCTCCACCCTGATAATTACACCTGGTGACTCTCACTCCTCCCCCAGGTGCTGTGCGCAGTCATCGCGGGTGCCTTACACTATCTCTACCTGGCCTCCTTCACCTGGATGCTGCTGGAGGGCCTGCACCTCTTCCTCACCACACGCAACCTGACGGTGTCCAACTACTCCAAGGTGAGCAGGTTCATGAAGAAGTTCATGTTCCCTGTGGGCTACGGAGTCCCAGCTGTGATTGTGGCCATTTCTGCAGCGTCCAGGCCTCACCTTTATGGAACACCTGCTCGGTAAGGGCACATTCCCATTTCTCTTTCTTCTTCACCATGACCATGGCTTTGTGAAACCAACATAGCATTCTGCTTATGACAGATCATATGAATAGAGATAATAAGTGATGATGGTTAGGGCATCTTTCTGATAGCTATCCTATATAATAAAAGGCTAATATGCAAATCGACCAAACAGCAGAATGAGCAGTCGCTATGATGCGCACTGACCACCAGGAGGCAGATGCTCAACCCTGGAACTGGCCCCTGGTGGTCAGTGCGCTCCCACAGGGGGAGTACCGCTCAGCCAGAAGCCAAGCTCACAGCTGGCAAGTGCAGCAATGGTGGCTGGAACCTCTCCCGCCTAAACCGGGAGTAGGCCTAAACCAGCAGTCAGATGTTCCCCAAGGGATCCCAGACTGCAAGAGGACACAAGCTGGGCTGAGGGACACCCCTCCCTCCCACTGCCAGTGCACAAATGTCATGCACTGGCCTTCTAATTTATAATACTTAAGAATGTCTCTAAAACTCTCCATAAATAACAAAGGTATAACAAAGGTGTGTCGGCCTGGAAACCAGGGGGTCCTGGGTTTTATCCCATGTCAGGGCACATGGCTGGGTTGTAGGCTTGATCCCTAGTGTGGAGTGTGCAGTAGGCAGCTGACTGATGATTCTCTCTCATCATGGTGTTTCTATCTCTCTTTCCCTCTCCTTTCCCCTCTGAAATCAATTTTTTAAAAATTAAGATTTAGCCGAAACCAGTTTGGCTTAGTGGATAGAGTGTCGGCCTGCGGACTGAAAGGTGCCAGATTCTATTCCAATCAAGGGCATGTACCTTGGTTGCAGGCACATCCCCAGTAGGGGTATGCAGGAGGCAGCTGGTCGATGTTTCTCTCTCATCAATGTTTCTAAATCTCTATTCCTCTCCCTTCTTCTCTGTAAAAAAATCAATAAAATATATTTTTTAAAATTAAGATTTAAATAAATAAAATAAAAAATAAATAAATGAAGCCAAAACCGGTTTGGCTCAGTGGTAGAGCGTCGGTCTGCGGACTGAGAGGTTCCAGGTTCGATTCCGTTCAAGGGCATGTACATTGGTTGCGGGCACATCCCCGGTGGGGGTTGTGCAGGAGGCAGCTGGTCGATGTTTCTCTCTCATCGACGTTTCTGGCTCTCTATCTCTCTCTCTTCCTCTCTGTAGAATATCAATAAAATATATTTTTTAAATAATAAATAAATAAATGATAATGGACAGATTTGAATAGACATTTCTTCCAAGATATGTAAATGACCAGTGAGTGTATGAAAAGTTGGTCAACATAGTTAGTCATTAGGAAAATGAAAATCAAAAACATCAAAATCAGATGTTACTTCACTGCAATTAGGTTAAACAGTTAAAATAAAAAGACAGCCCTAGTCGGTTTGGCTAAGTGGATAGAGTATCTGCCTGGGACCAAAGGATCCTAGGTTAATTCCTTGGTTGCAGGCTCCTCCCTGGCCCTAGTCTGGTGTGCATGAAGGAGGCAACCATTTGATGTGTTTTCTCTCACATCAATATTTCTCTGTCTTTCCCTCTCTTTTCCACTATCCCCCCCCCCAAAAAAAAAAACCAATAGAAAAATATCATTGGGTGAGTAATAACAACAAAAATAATAATAATAATTTTTAAAAAATTATTCAGCCATAAAAAATATACTGCAACATGGTTGAAGCTTGATTGAAAACATGCTCGGTGACAGAACCCAGTCATAAAATACCACGTATTGTACAATTCGATTTATGTTCAAAATAGGCAAATCCATAGAGACAGAAAGTAGATTAATGATGCCGTGGGGCCATGCTGGGCGGGGGGGTACATAGAAGCAGGAATGAGGAGTGACTGTCAGTAGGAATGAGTTTCTTTTGGAGGAGTTGGAAATGTTCTAAAGTTAGATTGTGGTGATGATCGCACAACACTAAATTTTTTTTAATATATTTTATTTATTTTGTACAGAGAGGAAGGGAGAGAGATAGAGAGTTAGAAACATCGATGAGAGAGAGTCATCATCGATCAGCTGCCTCTTGCACACAACCCTCTGGGGATATGCCCGCAACCAAGGTACATGCCCTTGACCGGAATCGAACCCGGGATCTTTCAGTCCCCAAGCCAACGTTCTATCCATTGAGCCAAACCGGTTTCGGGAACACTAAATTTTTTTAATATATTTTTATTGATCTCAGAGAAGAAAGGAGAGGGAGAGAGAGATAGAAACATCAATGATGAGAGAGAATCATTGATTGGCTGCCTCTTGCAGGCCCCCTACTGCAGATTGAGCCTGCAACTCGGGCATGTGTCCTTGACTGGAATCGAACCCGGGACCTTTCAGTCTGCAAGCCGATACTCTATCCACTGAGCCAAATAAGCTAGAGCAATTCTATGAATATTTTAAAGATCACGGAACTATACAGTTTAAATGAGTGAATGTTTTAGTATGTGAGCTACGACTCAAAAAAGCCAAAAGTTAAAAAACTCAGCCCTAGCTGGTTTTGCTCAGTGGATAGAGCAATCCCATTTTCGTTTTGTTGCAGGGGGTCTCATTGTGTGTCTGTGAGATGTGTGGGATTGAAGGCCATGCTTACTTTCTTCACGAGGGTATCTTCAGAGCCAACCACAGAGCCTATCACAGCAGAGACACTCAATGTTTGCTGATAAATGATGAATGAATTAATGAATGAATTTGAATAATTGTTCTCCATTTCTAAGGACCAATGCATTTTTAATTCTCCCTCTTTCATAGCTGCTGGCTCCACCGAGAAAAGGGATTTATATGGGGCTTCCTTGGACCAGTCTGCACCATCCTCTTTGTGAGTAAAGACATCAGAGCATCCTTAATGCTCAGTGGAGGGTCATTAGACTTATAAAGAGGCGAAGAGGCAGGAGGATGACATGAGCAAGAATGTTCCTGCGTTGTCTTGTGTTTGCTTTGGTTTTCTGAGACTGCTCCTAAAACTACAAGCTCGCCCTGACTAGTTTGGCTCAGTGGATAAAGCATCATCAGCCTGCAGACTCAAGGGTCTCAGGTTCGATTACGGTCAAGGGCCTATACCTTGATTTGGGGCACATCCCTGGTAGGGGATGTGCAGGAGGCAGCTGATGGATGTTTCTCTCTCATCGATGTTTCTGGCTCTCTATCCCTCTACCTTCCTCTCTGAAAAACTCAATAAAATACTTTTTTTTTTTAACTACAAGCTCTAGCACTGTTACTAAATATGAAAACTACTTAAGTGTGGAATTTCTGTTGAACAGGCTAGGCTAGAGATAACAAACTAAAATTATATTCACTAAACCTTGTGTGTTTTCCTGAAGGTCAATCTAGCTTTCTTTCTGATGACCCTCTGGATTTTGAAAAGCAAACTCTCTTCGCTCAACAGTGATGTGTCCACCCTCAAGAATACAAGGTAAGCCAAAACCAGTTTGGCTCAGTGGATAGAGCATCAGCCTGCGGACTGAAGGGTCCCAGGTTCAATTCTGGTCAAGGGCATGTACCTTAGTTGCCGGCACATCCCCAGTAGGGGGTGTGCAAGAGGCAGCTGATCGATGACTCTCTCTCATAGATGTTTCTAGCTCTCTATCTCTCTCCCTTTCTCTCTCTAAAAAGATCAATAAAATATTTTTTTAAAAGAATACAAGGTAAAATGGAGATGAGGGTGACAATCCCACAGACATGTGTAGTCCCAAGGGCATATCCATGTGTCTCGGAAGCCCTGACATCCCTTCTCTGGATCTTCAGAGGGAACCCAGAGTAAAGAGATGCAGTTGTCCTCCAATGGCAGCCAGCTTGGACTCAGTGGTGGGCTGCTGACTTCCCAGCTGCAATGTTCTGTCTCTAATCCCATCTTGTTCCTCCCTCAGCCACAGGAAGGATTGACATTGGTTGTTGGGCTTTTGTCAGCAGTCCTACAATTAAAGTACAGAGAACCTGTGTGCACTTAGGAAAATCTGTGACTCTTCCCACAACCCCTCTACACTTCCATACCCACTCTCAGTCAGGCTCCTTCTCACCCCTCTCCAGTGTCCTTTTTACATTTTGCATGTCATTATTCCATTGTGTTAGTCATTGGGATAGACTGTGAACTTTTAAAAAATACAAATCTTGCCTCTGTTACTTTTAATGCCCAGGCCCCAGCACACAGTCTGATGCACTGAACACACTCGGTAATGTTGGATGAATAAAATTAGGCATCACCAGGGAGCATTATATTTTTTTTTGAAACTTACATTATGAAGTGTCACAACCCTACTCAATTCAATCAAAATGTCATTCTGGACCCAAGTAGCATTTCTATTGTAGAGAATCATTGACAGTCAAGGTCAAAGCTGAACACAACTCTGTCTGTGAACTCATGACCCTTAGGAGAAGGCAGGAGCATTCATTGGGTGGAGATGAGAATGGCCTTGATTCTGTTGCTCTGGGCGCACCATGGGCCTCTCTTCTCCTCCTACCCAGGATGCTGACATTTAAAGCGATAGCTCAGCTCTTCATCTTGGGTTGCACGTGGTGTCTGGGAATCCTGCAGGTGGGTCCAGCTGCTCTCGCCATGGCCTATCTCTTCACCATCATCAACAGCCTGCAGGGCGTCTTCATCTTCCTGGTGTACTGTCTCCTCAGCCAGCAGGTACCACTGTCCACCTCCCGCCCATGACTCTTTCCATTCTTACCGCTCTCAGAGAGCTGACTCAGAACATGCTTTGCCTTGCAGGTCCGCCAACAATACAGGAAATGGTGGGAAGGGGTCAGGAAAACCAAAGCAGAGTCTGAGCAGCACACCCTCTCCAGCGGACTCCTGTCGGATGCCCCTAGACACAGTGTGGTAAGGTCATGCATTGCTCCCAGAGCACTTCACTAATTGATAGAGTACCTTATGCCCAACACACGGGATGACATGGGCATATAGCAGATGATGCCCGAGGATGGCTTCCACTGAATTTACTCTTTGATTCCTTAACCATTTGCAATGGTCTCACTTAGAAAATAATATATTTTGATCTTACTCCTGAGGAACTGTGTTCATTTTGACTTTTACACATTAGCACTCTTATTGAACACCTGTTGTGTGCCATGCATGGTTAGCTAAATTAGCAAGAATCAATGCTTGAGGCAGGAATGCCTGTTCCACTTAGAGGCACATTATCTTATTCTTCATCTACCTCTATCTCGTAGTCACTCAGCACCATACAACAAAAATGGGGGAAATTATGTACATATTTAAGAAATAAATGGAAATAAGTGTTAGCTAGCATTTTAGACTTAAGGAATCTGCCTAATATGTCCAGCACTCTCCTGTAAAACCAGGAAGGAAAAGCCATCATTGCATGGAATAATTCACAGCAATGATTTCTAAGAACCACCAATTGTTAAGATTTACCAAGTTCTTTTTACAATTTTTTTTTTTAGACATAGAAAGTTCTCTTACAGTCTCTCACCTCTTCCATTTTCCATTAAACTTCTTGAGTTTTCTTTCCCATTTAAAGGAGCCTACTATGACCACATACTGTGGCTCAGTGGTTGAGCATTGATCCATGAACCAAGAAATCCCTGGTTTAACTACTGGGTATCAACCCTGAGTTGCAGGGTTGATCCCCTGTAGGGAGCATGCAGGAGGCACCTGATCAATGTTTCTAGTTCTATATTCCTCTACTTTCCTCACTCTCTCTCAAATAATAAAAACGTATTTCAAAATAATTTTTTTATAAAGGATCCTTATATACTCCCAGAAAGTCCTGTATATCTTTCACCTGTTCACCCATGCTCCACAAGCACTGGTTTCACTGTTGAATCTTCTAACCTCCCTCCCTTTCTCAGCAAATATTCTTGCCACATATTCCACAGAGAATATCCGAGTCATTGTGATGATTCTGTGAACTGCACCCTCTCAAACACGCATACATTAGCATGCACCTTCTCCACATTACCATATCATTCACACCATTTCCCTTCTCTCTAAAGACAACTTTCACCGTCACTTTGAATGCCAACATTCTTGCCTTATCAATTATACTTACACTATTGTTCACACATTCTCTCTCCCTCCTCCCTTCTTGTCTTTCTCCCACACTTATACCCTTCATTCTTCCCTCACCTTCTCAAAAGCATTCTTCCCAATGCTGTAGCAACATGTTTGATTTTTTTTTTTTCATCTTACAAACATGTACCACTTGGCCTACCATTTCCTTCTAGCTACCAGCCAAGAGTTGACTTTTCTTTGTTGCCCTTTCCTTGCCTTAAATTCATTCCCTCAATTTATATATTTTGGCTTCTTTCCCCCCATCATTTCACCAAAGCAAATATCTCTTAGGTTTACAATAATCTCCGAACCACCTAAAATCCTTCCAGAAACTTCGTATACTATTTATCACTCTTTCTCATGAAACACTTCATCCTTATCCTATCTAGAATCTACTTAAATGCCCCTCCTCCGTGTCTTTCTCCATTTACATTTGCTCCATTAGCTTTATCTCTTTGTTTCAGTTATAGCTTCAACCAATGGATTGAGTTCAGATCAATTTAAATTCTCATCAAATTCTTTCTTCCTAAGCGATAGAATTCATTCCTTAGAGTCAGTCACCATAGAGACGCAAATGATGGCCACATACTCTTGTCTGTCTCTGAGAACTTGAGAAGTATTTCCAGTTACTTGGCATCTTTGATATTACCCAGATACTTTAAACTCAGCCTTCCAATTTATGACTCACAATCTTCACCTTAATCCCATCCTTTTCCATGGTGTCTTTCTCTCAATGGAATTACATCCATCCCATTGCACAAGTTTGAAATGTGAATGTTACTCCACAGCTACCTTATTTCCCACTAAAACTTATACATTAGACAGCCCTATTGTTCTTATCTTCTCAGTATGTCCCTTATTTTTTAATAGCCATATAGATTTCCATTGTGTAAATGTACCAACAGCTTTCTTATCCACTCATCTACTGATGGACACTTTGGCATCTTCCAAATCTTGGTTTCTGTAAATAATGCTGCAATGAACATAGGGTGCACATACTTTTTTCAATTAGTGTTTTGGGTTTCTTCAGATATGTGCCCAAAAGTGGAATCTCTGGGTTATAAGGTAGTTCCATTTTTAATTTCTTTTAAACTTTTTTCTTTTTTAAAAAAAATATTTTTTATTGATTTTTTTTTTTTTTTTTTTTACAGAGAGGAAAGGAGAGGGATAGAGAGAGGAACATCGACCAGCTGCCTCCTGCACACCCCCTACCAGGGATGTGCCCACAACCAATGTACATGCCCTTGACCGGAATTGAACCTGGGACCTTTCAGTCCACAGACCAACGCTCTATCCACTGAGCCAAACCAGTTTCGGCTAAATTTTTTTTCTAATACTCACCCAAAGACATGCTTAGAGAGAGGGGAAGGGAGAGAAAGGTGTGATGGCAAAACACTGATTGGCTATTTCCCATACTCTCCCTGACTGGGGATAGAATCCACAACTTAGGTGTGTGTCCTAACCAGGAATCAAACCCACAACCTTTCTGTGTCTGGGACAATGCTTCAACAACTGAGCCACTCTGGCCAAAGCCCATTTTTAATTTTTTGAGGAAACTATGTACTGTTTTCTACAGTGGCTGCACCATTTGTTCTTCATTTGCTCTGTGCTGAAGTGGAGAAAGGCCAATGGGGAGTGAGTGTGCTGGTCCAATCCATCCCCTTTGTTCTCAGTGCCTTCCAACTTGTGGCACCTTTCCATCAGTGCTCATTCTCAGGCAGACAAAGCCCAGTCCCTCAGGCAGACCCTCAAACTGTTAGAATGCCGGCGGAACAATTCAGTCATCTCCTGTGGCAAGATGCTGCCATGAATTTCCCTTCTGGCTTCAATGCGGCAGGTGTCATACTCAGTTGGGTGCAGTAGCCTCTCACCTCTGGATTTTTCACACAAAAAATGGACTCGTGTATTGTTGTTGAATTGATGTATCCATGAGGGGAAGGAAGTCTGGAGCTTCCTATCCTGCCATCTTGCTGACATTACCCCTTATCTCCATTCTTTGAGTAAAGACACAAGTCATATTGTGTTAGAGCTCATCCTAATGTCCTTATTTTAACTTACAACCTCTTAAAAAAAACACACACACACACAAAAAAAAAAAAACCTTTGTCTAAGTATAGTCATGTTCTGAGGTCCTGGAGGTTAGGATTTCAACATATGAATTTTGAGGGTATAGAATTCAACCAATAACAATGGTATAACATGAATGACCCTCTAAAACATTAAACTAAGTAAAAAAATTTCAGATATAATAGCAGATATAATGGGTTATATATTGGACAATTCTGTTTATATGAAATATTCAGTATAGATAAGTCTGTGGAGACAGACAGTAGATTGGTTGTTGCCAGGAGCTTGGAGTGGGTGATGGGAAATGACTACCTAATGAACATGGAGTCTTCTTTGAGGAGATGAAAATGGTTTAGAACTAGATAGAGGGGAAGATTGCATGTAGCAAATGTACTAAATGCCACCGAATCATGCACTTTAAAATGATTTAATTTGTGTTATATGAATTTCATTTATTATATAAGTCTGTAAATTTGACATTAAGTAAAAGTGTGTTTGTGTGTTTATGTGTGCATAAAAAGATAAAACAATATCATAAAAGAATAATTGGTTATAGGTACATGAATGTTCCTTTAAATTTTCCAGAAAAACTGAGAAAAATGCTTGAATATTTATTTATTTACTTATTAGCCATTTCAATCATTTTAGTTTTATCTCTTCCCCAGGTAAAAGATGATGGAACAACAGCAGAAAAGAGAAAATTAAGTCAATTATAAGAAAACTAAAGGTGAGTGATTAAAGAAAAACAGGTAAAATCATATGATTTTTGTCCTTTTCTGTCTGACTTATTTCACTTATGTCCTAACACTCTCAGGATTGATGTTTCAAATGGCAATATTTAATCTTTTCTATGACTGAATAGTATTCCATTGCATATATGTACCACATCTTCTTAATCAATTCATCCATCAATGGACACATAGGTTATTTACATATCTTGACTATTTTAATTAGTACTGCAGTGAACATATGGGTATACATAGCTTTTTTAACTTGTTTTTTATACTCTTCAGATAGATGCTCAGAAGCAAAATTGCTAAATTATATCGAATTATATATAATGGTAACATTATAACATATAATGTTGTTAACCAATGCTACCTCAATAAGAAAGGAAGAAGGAAGGAAGGAAGGAAGGAAGGAAGGAAGGAAGGAAGGAAGGAAGGAAGGAAGGAAGGGAGAGAGGGAGGGAGGGAGGGAGGGAGGGAGGGAGGGAGGAAGGAAGAGGAGGACAGGAAAGGAAGGAAGAAAGGAAAGTGAAAGAAAGAATGAAGAAGGAAGGAGGAAGGAGGAAGGAAGGAAGAAGGAAGAAGGAAAGGAAGGAAGGAAGAAGGAAGGAAGGAGGAAGGAAGGAAGGAGGAAGGAAGGAAGGAAGGAAGGAAAAGGAAGGAAGGGAAAGAAAAAAGGAAGGAAGGAAGGAAGGAAGGAAGGAAGGAAGGAAGGAAGGGAGAAAGAGCTATAGTCCACAAACTATCTTCCTAGTTAAATTTTTCCCAGTAGAATGAAGTGGGGGATGGGGGGTGGTGATAATGTCTAAACTTTTCAAAATGTGAGTATCTCTCCATATAATATTTTCTGGCCCATGATTACACAGGAAAAGTTTATACCTTGAGCTAAATACATGATTTCGAATAAAACAATGAATAGAAAAAGTATCCCAAGTGAAAACAAAGGAAAGTGTGTGTCTCAGATGTTGTTGGTGCTAAGAGAGGGCATCATAACACCACACTCAATGTCAGTCATTCCTTATTATTGTGTGCTCCTCCTGAACTTGTTTCCTCAGGACCTTCTACATTTTTCCAAAAGCAAAGGTTCTTTTCTACAATGAGCAGTCCTCCAAAAGTTGAGTAAAAAGAAAATCTTGGAAATGTAAGCAATGGAGTAGACTTCTTACCAAACAACTGTTAACAACTATGTTCATTTGGCAGTCAATAGGAAGTGATGTTTTAAGTATTTTATATTCTAACATGATATTTTATTACTGACACATAAATCTTTCATTGGTTTTAGTTATATTTCAGGAAATTGGTGAAGAGTTATAATACAATCTCTCCCATTTAAAATAATGGACTATAGGATCAAAATGCACAGTTTTGTGTGCATCTGCTTTTTAGGAATAACTGCCATTAAGCAGTAGGTACCTGAATTAAGAAAATTTTAGTAGGGTGGTATATGAAAAAAATATGAAGATGTATGCAAAGAATTAATATTGATAATTGAGGTACACATCTAGAGTACTAACAGTTTCTTTGCCATCTTTTTCTCTTACCCTGTTCTTTAAAACAACATGGCTCAGTTACAAATAACTTTAATCGTACATCCATCCATCTATCCACCTTTTAAGCAAGTCAACATGCCAGGTGTGAGAATCACCACTTCTCCATATCTTAATTTTATTTTCCAAATTTCTGCCTGCTGCAGCCTTTTCTGTGCAATAAACATTGCTTTGTCTATGTGCCTTGGCTACCAGTTATACAAAAATGAATACAGCAGGTACTTGCCAGCAAGGCACTCATAGTCCATGGCAGTGTTACTCAAAATGTGGTGCATGAACTTTTGTTGGCTCTTGAGGAAAAGAGAACCTTGGGGTAGACTGTAAATCAACAACATCCCTAAGCTTTAGTTCAACTGACATGAATTCCATAACAAGATGTTATCAATAAAGGAAGCAGTGTGTTGTGTAACTTTCTGGTGCAAGCTTCTGCTCTCCATGCAGACTGTCACCACTGCTCTGAGTACTGGTCTAGAGTCTTCTTGAAAAGTAGAGCATGACAAATGTCAAAAGCAATCAATAAGGTCTAGCTATAAGGTGTGCTGATTTGAGAAGCTCTATCCAAGCAGAGAAGTAGAAAGCAATGAGATTGATTACTAATTCTGCCAAGGGCTTGGAACTAAAGAGTGGTGGCATGGTACAAGAAATTTGCTGATAGTTATCTATTATAGGTCAGGTCCTTAACATATGTCACTTTTATTATTGCGTCCAGCCTGGTTCCAGCTTATTGCCACCTATCTTACTCAGCTTTGGCCTGAACATCACTAATGGTAACTCACTCTACCTTGGCCTTGCCTGTGACTTACTGCAGTTGACTACCACTGTTTATGATAGTCTGGCTCTCTGGTCTCTGTCCTGGCCATGAGCAAACAATAAACTCATGGACACTAGAATAATTTATCTATAGAGCATTGCATCATCTCCTGGTCTTGGAGGCCCCTTAAGAATGGAGTTTAAAGAAGAAATGTCCTGCTCTAGCAGGTTTGGCTCAGTGGATAGAGTGTTGGCCTGCAGGTTTGGCTCAGTGGATAGAGTGTTGGCCTGCAGACTGAAAGGCCCCAGATTCAATTCCAGTCAAGGGCACATGCCTAGGTTGCAGACTCAATCTCCGGTAGGGGATGTGCAGGAGACAGACAATCAATAATTCTCTTTCATCATTGGTGTTTCTATCTCTCTCTACCTCTCTTTTCCTCTCTGAAACCAATCAAAATATTTTAAAAAAAAGAAGAAATGTCCTGACTTAGGGAAGCTGCCCCTGCTTTCCCACAGCTATCGCTGTCTCATTATTTAACTCAGAATAAGTCTCCTGGACATCATAATTGGTGGGGAGAGGTGAGGCATAGGATGTATTTGCTATAATGAATTCCCACATCTCTTCCTCTTAATTATATCTAAACAGAAAGAGTTGGACATCTTTAAGTTATCCACATCACTGCTTCCCATTCTTCCTCTGGTTGAGAGATGAGTACATGTTTTACCACAATCTTCCAGGGACAATCAAATACCAAGGGCTTTAGCTTCCACTATAACTAATTGTCTCTCTCCCAGAAATAGAGACCCAGAGGGGTTCTGATGCAACAGCTCTCCCTGGAGCCTCTGTCTCCAGATAATGACAACAGCTCCCCCTGGAGCCTCTGATGCCAGATAATGACAACAGCTCTCCCTGGAGCCTCTGACTCCAGATAATGACAACAGCTCTCCCTGGAGCCTCTGTCTCCAGATAATGACAACAGCTCCCCTGGAGCCTCTGATGCCAGATAACAGACAAAGGCTGCACTGGTTAAGCCCATAATGATAGAATCCAGGGAGGTTTGATTAGAGTCTATTTTGCAATGAGGGTGGCTGACATGCTCATGGGGTGTTGAGAAAGGTCCCTCACTCTGCACACAGACCCTGGTGAGTGGGAGGGTGAGAACTTGAAATCCAGCTTATGGGAATCTTGGGAGTCCAGGCATGATTTAGACATTAGACCTTAGTGGAAGGATTGCTGGTGGTGTTTTCCACAGATATGATGGGTTGGGTGTATACAGGTATTTAGATATAAAGATGGACTTTTGTCTACTTCTTTGATATTTTCCAAGCCACAAATAGATGTCTTGTTATGCTGAATGCTTATTCTTTCCATAACTGTCTTCATTGCTATAAACCCAAGAAAGCCAGGCCTCTAGATAGCAGGAAGTCATCCATGTTGATATGTTGAAGGTCATGCTGACCTTCCATAAAAGCTGTTGGGAGCTGTTGAGCCTGGGCACCTGACAAAAACAACATATCTGGATGGTTTGAGGTCTTCCCCAGCTCACCTGAGGACAGGCCATCTTCCTCTCACTTCCACCCCTCAGAGGAGTTCTCAGTTCTGAACTGGGCGGAAGAGATGAGCATTAACTTCAATAAACATGCAACATTCAGAGTTTAGAATGCTCAGGATTTGGAATCAGATGGGGCTTCGAATTATAGCCTGCCCTCTTAGTAGGTGTGTGACTTCAGATTAGTCACTTACCCTCTCTCAGTCCGTTTGTCAATAACATTAGTTCCAACAAAAATGTTGTTTCCTTGCAAGATGTCTTCATTGAGCACAGTTTATTTAGCAAGCTCCTCTGTGGATTGTTTTTGAGTGGGGGTAATCTGATGTGATGACTAAATAAAGAGTCAATGACAGTGTCCGGCAAATTGCTATTTATTTAATTAGGTGACCAAGGGTCCAATCTTGCCTGGTCATAGTAGAGAGATATAAAAGTTTAATTGGCTACAAGAAAGTGAGTAATGCTAGTTCCTTTCCCCTAGTCACTTAGCATCATCAGCAGGACCCCTGGACCCAAATTTTGACATCACTCAGGTAAATGGAGAAAGGAAGAAGTGAAACCACAACTTGGAAACTTGCTAAAGGGACCCCTCTTCAAGCCACATGAGAAGTCTTGATTTAGAATTCACAGTGAGAGGATCCAGCCCAGATTATAGTGAGTCATGGCTAACTCTGCCTGCCTGACTGACAGGGAAGAGGTTGGATGGTTGGAAATACTTTTCCCCCAAAAGATGTCTTGGAAGGAAATAGTTTGTTAAAAACTCAGGGCATGAGGGGATCACAGCCAGAATCTCTAGCCACAGGGGGAACTGCTGGTGGAAAGATTATAAACACCCAGAGGTGTGCCTTTAAAAAAAAACACACACACACACACAAAAAAAAACAGATCAATAGCAGTGAGACCACCTGAGCGCCCTGGAATGAAAGGTAAGTTTGGGGGCATGCAAGACTGAATGTACACAGTGTGTGTGTGTGTGTGTGTGTGTGTGTGTGTGTGCGCGCGCGCGCGTGTGTGTAACAAATCCTGACATATCTCTTATAGCATTTAAGGGAAGTGTGTTGAATGCAAAGGGAAAACAGGGACTTTAGAATTAGGTCCCTCTCTTGTTCAAATCTTGGCTCTGTTACTTCCTTGCTAGGTGATGCTGGAAAAGTCACTG